TGGCGACCGTATCCTTACAATTCCTCACTCTGAAAACGGTTTTCCTGCTCGCAATAACCTCTGCACACAGGGTTAGCGAGCTTTCCGCCATGATGGCCATCCCACCATATACGATTTTCCGTAGCGATGGAGTAGTCTTGAGATTACATCCAAGGTTCTTACCCAAGATTGTCTCCAATTTCCACATTAATGAACCAATCATCTTGCCAACCTTTTTCCTGAAGCCCCATGCCTCGCCATGAGACGCGGCCCTACATTCCTTGGACATCCGCAGGGCCTTAGCATTCTACATAGATCGCACTAAATCATTCAGGCTTACGGACCATTTATTCGTCTCCCTGGCACACAGGTCAAAGGGTCAACACCTATCTTCCCAAAGAATTTCCAATCTCGTAACCGCATGAATAGTGCAACTTACCCCTTCCGTCCCAACCACGTGCTCACTCCACTAGAGCCATGGCCACATCTACAGCGTTTCATAGAGGGGTATCTCTGAAAGACATCTGCAGAATAGTGACTTGAGACCTTCGCCAAACACTATTCTATTTCTCTACTCACTTGCTCAGATAGGGCAGTGGCGACTGCGGTGCTCTCCACAGCGGATAAATAGGGACTCCTTGCCCTCCTTCCGTTTTGGCGACTACTGCTACGCAGTCACCCATAGTGGAGCACCCTCGGGGAAATCCCCGAAGAAGAAACCGAAGTTACTCACCTCCGGTGCAGTAACTGTCGTTCTTCGAGGTGGTGTCCCTGCGGGTGCTCCACTACCCGCCCTCCTCCCTGCTTCAGAGTCCTTTCTCTCTCTCTCTGCTCTTGTCTTTTACAGACTCCAAGGCGGTTTCGAGGAACTGGCGGGAGGCCGGACCACGCGATAGAAAGAGCGTGAAATGACTGGCTTATGACAAGCTTCCGTCTACGGCGCCGGGGCAAGCCCAGCACCCATAGTGGAGCACCCGCAGGGACACCACCTCGAAGAATGACAGTTACTGCACCGGACGTGAGTAACTTCGCTTTTTCTTTCACAGACTGAAATTAAATAACTCCAAAAAGTTGAAATATGACAATTCTTATGTAAATTCTTCAGGTTGACAGATGCCCCCAAAAGAACTCCAAAAAATGACAAAAGCTAGAAAAACTACAAACTGTTTATTTTTTCTCTGAAAACACATGAGTTTTTCATAATCCTCTGTAGGATAGCACAAAGATTTAGTTATATATAAGTACTGTAAAATAAAGTCAACTATGAATGAACTGATATAATTTTTTTATGCAACTGAAATACCATTAGTTCCAGATCAGTCTCCAAAATATTTTTGGCAAGTTAAAATGTCTTGTCCAAATTATTCTATTTATCCTCTATGTAAAATGTAATGAACAGTACTGGAAAATATATAATGATATTTTACTTTCAGGAAAGAAAACAGAAATACTACTATTTGTTTATACTCACGTTTATTTGCCTCATTCAGTAAAGGATCCTCAAGTACATGTGGAAACACGAGGTCAGATCCAAATAAATTGTTGATGCCTTCAAGCAGATTCACATTTGTTACTCGTAGGGGAGGCTGTTTCGAAAAAGTAATCGGCAACCCAGAAAATCCACAGTCCATAGGTGAATTTGCAATTGGGATTCCCTGCATAATAAAACAAAAGGCAAGTAAATAGATCTTATGATTTGGTCTTTGAGGCAAAATACATAAGCTGTATAGATACCATAGTAAGGTAAGATCCTAAAAATTCTCATACACAAATAATTCTTACTAAGCTAGTATTTGAGAGGAAGAATGGTGTTGGTGGTAAGACACTGGAGTAGAACTGACGAGAACTGTGTTTGACTCCTGGTTCTGTTGCAGACTCCATGGGACCTTAGGCAAGTGAGATAACAGCTATGTTTGTGGCTGTGAAATGGGGATGATAATATTTTGCTTCTCCCACCTTTTCTTTTTGTCAATGTAGAAAGGTAAAATGTTTGGGACAGGAACTGTCTCTGAGTTAGCAGCAAGCAAAATGGAGCTCCAATTTTGTTTATTGAATCTAGGCACTACTGTGATACAGGCTGTCCTCACTATAAGTCCAATATACATTCCAAAAAATTTGGACTTGTAGCTTTTCCCACAGCTGATTTCCATTTGCGCAAATTGGGGGGGGGGGATTTTGCGCACGCGACTTAAGAGCAGGGAATGGGTGAACTTATAAGGCATCAGTTCCTACAAGAATCAACTTATAATGGGGCAACTTATAGGAAAAACTTTATGTAAAGAATTGTTGGATTGGGCAATCAGTCTGCTGTTGCTAACTTGAGATTTAATCATTTTAGTTGCTAATTGAACTAAAATAGCACAAAAAATAGTTAGAAGCTAGTTAGAATAGTTGAATGGGTAGGGTCCTACCAAATCCACGGTCTACTTTGGTCAATTTCAGTCATAGGATTTTAAAAATTCATAAATGTCATGATTTCAGCTATTTAACTCTGAAATTTCTTGGTGTTGTAATTATAGGTGTCCAGCCCAAACAGGAGTGGATGGATGATCGCAAAGCTATTGTAGGAAGAGTTGCAGTACTGCCACCGCAACTTCTGTGCTGCTGCTGCTTGTGATGGCACTGATTTCAAAGCTGCATCACTGGAGAGCAGTGGCTGCTGGCCAGGAGTCCAGTGCTCAAGGCAGAGCTGCCACCAGCAGCAGCGCAGAAGTAAGGATGCCATGGTATGGCTGTGATAGTCTGTATCTTGGAGAAGTATTCTGTAACTCTCATATTTCTCCTTTATAATCATGATCTTACATATAAAGCATGCCATCAAAGATATCAGGGAAAGGTTATGAACTGCTGAAACCCATTGTTCTATCTAAATATATATGTCCTTAGTGCATACGAAGTTATGAGATTGTATTACATAGTTGTCATTAAAACATACTGTAAATTGGGGAATCAGCCAGATATTACCTCCCCAGAGATAACATAAAGAAAAGTAACCAACACCCGTCAGGTGTGAAACAACCACTAGCAGCCATTATCCAGCAAGGGAGCTACAATTCAATGAATCACCCCCATAAGTCCACACCAAGGAGTTGCTCAGTCTTGCCTGAAGACTCAGCAATGCACACCAGACCTGCTGGTTTAGTTGGTTAAAAGAAATTTACTATTTTTAAAATGCAGAAACAAATTGTAAAAGAAACCCTTACAAAATATGCAAGTAAATTGACTGACTGTCCATCATTTCCAAGTCAATAGTGAAGAACAGTAACTATGGGAGATAAAAAGATGCATAAAGACGAAAAAGAATGGTATACTATGTACAGAGTGTTCCAACAACAATCTAAAGTAGTGGTAAATAAGGTGCTAACCTACTTTGTGCTGAGAAAATGTCTTTTGAAGTTTAACATCAAAAGCGTTTTTTCTGCTTAAATGACACTCCTTACTTTCTAAGCACTTGAAAAAGCACAACTAGAATGCATCTGACAAACTTGAAAAATCTTTTGTGTTGTTCCACTTCAGTGATCTAATGAGATAATGGCTCAGTTCTGTTCTAGCTAATGAGATACAACATCTTCATTGAACCTTCATATAAAACAGAGCTCTCTAAAGCTAATGTTTTAACGTACTTCCCTTGCTTTGCTAATCTTGCTATGTTTTTTATTTAAGTGATGTCCAATGTATAAGAGCACAGGTCAGTTTTGAAATAAAATATTTACACATGAAGTGACTCAATCCACAAATGCCTTAAACTCTCGTATACAAGCACTATGGCTTCAAGTGGCAAAAATATATTCACTAGCAGAGTAACTCACTAAGGCTCTGATCATACGTTTATATTGACATGCTAACATATCCATAAAGAGGTCTGTGATAGCATGCGTTTCCAAGATCAGGTTTAAAACAGAATCTGATATACAGGGATTTGGACATAACTGGATTGAGTATGATTTATTATCAATATCAGGGAAAGCAATTAATACCCTTAAAAAAAAAGCAGACACCTTTAGGGAGCCTTATCACAATAAAGTACGTCATAAACAAATGATAAAAAGACTGTTTCTGCCCTCAAAACATACAGTCTAAATGTAAGATGAGAGAATGGGTAATTACTATAAGTAGATGGGTAGCAAAAGGCAACAGTGAGATTATTAGGATTAGTGTAAGCCGTGGTCACAGTGACTGCTTAGCCATTGTCATATTTTGTAGGTATCCTGGAGGAGTTGAGTTTAAGGCAAAATCTGGGGTATAATGGCTTTGTAGATGTTATGCTGAGCTTCTCTCATACATAAGGGACAGCATAGGATGGACACATTTGGGGGGAAAGTTGGACTAATGACAAATATAACCTGTCTTCACTGGTGCTTCTGATAATCTTGATTACTTATAGTATTTTATCCAAATTCAAATTGCTTTATTCAGGTGGGCTCTTAGAGATCTATGAGATAGGTCTGACAATTTAAGGCGCAGCAGGTACTCAAACATTCTACATGTGGTCTTCCATTGTCCAAATTCCCTGACTAGAGGTCCAGATTGAGAAGTGTTTGAACAAATATATTTGATCCAGTGCACTAGTTTCTATTATTCAGCAGGCACAATATCTCTTTTCTGCTTTATCTAACCATAGGGTGTCCATGCCATTAGGTACAGGCTGTCCAGCTCTGGGTGCTATATCTAACCACAATGCTCTAATAGAAGATTTGGAAGGAGGGAAAGAAGTCTTGTAAGCTGGAATGATAGACTGAGTTAGAATGGCATTACACCTCCTTACACAAAGGACTGGTTTTGGCCCATCAAGCCTACACCTGAAATCCACATTTCAAGAATAACATCTATGACTCTAAAAGAAATTCAGGTTAAGTCAGAAGGAACTATCATGATAATATGACCTACACAGACCACAGTAACTTGCTCAGTAATTTCTGCATCAAGCCAGTAACTTCTGTTTGAGTTACAGTATCATCCAGTCTTAACCTGACCACAGTTACAGTGTTAGCAAACTAAAAGGCAAGTGTACTAAAGGGTTCACCAAATAACAATGACAAGATTAAGTGTAACTTGAAAATAAGAGGCAGACTGAACAAAACAAGACACTCAAACCCTTATTTTTCTCTGAAAAAAAGGTTGAAAACTGTCACAGGTGGCAAGAGATTTAAGGGCAATAGTGAAGATGTAAGGGTAAATGGAGGGGACCCCTGAATGCCTCGTAATCGACTGGTCGAGCCCTCACAATCAACCAGTCGATTGCGATCGACCAGTTGTCACCACGGGGTTATGCCATAACCTCTCAAGTGACATAGTGGGATTTCCACTAATTGAGACCAAATTGAACAATGCATAATAGTGTTTGTGAAAACAATCCTTCATTAAAAGAGAATACTGCCAGGATCTAACAGGTCTTTTCAATTCAGAGTTCTAGGATTTCAATTTCTTACTTGTTGTTCTATTAAATGAAGCTCAGCTCTTGCCCGCTCCTCCATGTTCACTGCAATTCCATCTAGCACTTGCAGGCTGGGCAATCGGAATATGAGCAGTGGACGGTGGGTCATCTTGCGAGAAACCTGAGATGAACATAAATTATCCTAAATATGGAATCCTGATCCAAAAAGATAACCTGAGAATAACTTGCCTCGAGACTAAATGTCTGAATCAAACCATAGAGTGAAATATGAATGGAGATGACTATACACTGTTCTTGTCCTGGGCAGTGTTACAGACAGAAGACAATATACAATTTATTATCTATAATTTAGCACAAAATAAGACCAAAAAAGATAAATGTGTTATCTGTAAATAGGCTTTTCCTGATATTCCACCCTATTAGTGTCTGAACCATGCTGACAGATGCTAACAGAGGCTTGCTGATTCACAGTAGCAGGTGTACCTTTTATCACTACCTTGGATAAGAGAGCTGAAAGTGCCCCTCTGGAGCAGAATTGTAGGGTTTGGAGTTAGGTAATTCTAAGGAAGATACACCACACACAGCTAAGTCTGGAGAGAGAGTCTGGGTAGGAGTTGATGCTGCTTGGCTACCTGAAGCTTCTGTTGAGCTTTCTGCTCCTTCATAAATGCAGCCAGGTTTTTCCCTGGGCTACAGCCTGAACTTGCTGGAGTTGATTCTGCTGGGTTTTCATCTCTTTTAGAATCTCATTCATTTTCCCTTTTTACAGCAACCTGATTTGCTTTTTCTGTGTGTTTCTAGCCAATTCTCATTTTAAGGTCAGACTCTTCAGATTTACTATCCATAAAAATACTACAAGAACATTTAGGATTCTGGCTTTTGTAATCCGATTCTGCGAGGTGCTAAGTGTCATCTGAGATGCCTGAAACTGTAAACTCCAGTGATCCTTGGTACTTAGATCCACATTTATAGTGCTAAATTTGTTTTCCTATTATGAGATATTTTTCTCTTTCAAAATCACAACAGAAAAGTTTTTGTTTGGTGCTGCTTTTAAGTGTGTTAGTTAGAAGGCAAATTATATACATCAAGTGGTAATCCTGCAATCCTTACTGAAACACGTGGTGCCATTCAGATCTATCTTGCTCCTTTTTAAAGTCAATCGCTATTTGACTGATTGGACCCACTAATGTCCATAAGGATTGGCAGGATCCATAGTTACATATGTGTAGGACAAAGGGCACAGAATCTTCAGTGTGGAAATGGTTGAAGACAAGTTTTTCATTTCTATTTTATAATCTTATAAATTTCTGTGTTCTCTTGGAGAGAAGAATCCAAACAATCCAGGGAGATATAAAAGCACAATTAGAGAAAAATTCAACCCTAAAAATCTCTATGGGTGTTTCATGAAGGGCAATGCATAAACAAACAATTATATTATCAGGGAACACCTTACTGTTTATAAAAAAGGTTCAGATATCCTTTAACATTCTTTGAGCTATTTGATAGACCTGACCTGCTTTGGAATATTAAAAAGACAGGCCACCACCATACACTTACTTTTTGAATTCAGCTTGTGGCACTGAAAAGAATAAAATATCAAAGAATGACTGCACTCAAATCACTCCTATACCAACATGATAAAAGCTCTCTAAGAAATTAATCAACACCCATATAATGACTACAAAACGGTAAGTGATTGATACTTAGTAGTTAATTAAACAAAAATTCTTAACAATTATAATGAACTAGCAGATAAGGCCCATTGCTTACTGGGCAAAGTCATTTTGCATAGATTACACATTTAATTTCTTGAACTTTCCTATATGTAATAATTTTTTTTATTAATGTGCTCATAAAAGGGAAGTAAAAGAACAGTTTTAAATTTGTAGGATTTCAACTTCAAATATTATTCATTTTATTGAATAATTACCATACATAGTAATTTGAATCAGTAAAGTTTCTGTTACTCTTCCTGTAACTAATTTGAATTATTTTGTGATTTGTAACAGTAAACATTTTCTTTACACTAAAATGACAGTTGAATAGGCAACTCAATTTTAATTTTGTTAGCAGATATTATTTATGAGCTCTAATCATAGTAGTCATGACTTTTTTCTGATGAAAAACAAAAATAATTATTTAAACCTTTTACCCAGCATATTCCTGTGTAAAAAATAGTGCATTCAGCTAATTTAAGTGGCAGGATTGTTTAGGCAAAATTTGGTATCTCTAGGCCATTGCAAAGTATGACTTTAGTTTGCACAAACAAATCTACAAACAAACTCTTCAAAATATATAATAGATTAGAAAGGTAAATTATTCACAACAAGTATACATCTAGTTTACATGATCATACAAAATAAAATACTCACTGGATTTCCATATACTGAAAGCTCTTTAAGACTAGGAATAACTTCAAGTTTTTCGAGTTCAGACAATTCCTGTTCACAAGATATAAAATAAGATAGATGCTATCACATTTCAAAGCCTCTGAACCAAATGTATTTACTTTGGCCAAATGCAAAGATCTTTACACAGGCAAAGCTATTGAATGTAATAAGAGTTTTGTCTGAATATCTGGCTCATTGAATTTACAGTTTGAACACTAATGTATTATACCTGAATTTTATTAAGTCCCAGGAAAAGTTTCTGTAATTTTACTAACGGCTGTAAATTGTTCAGTTCTCTCAGTCGGTTTTCTTCTAGGTGAAGCGCCAAAAGGGAGCTCTGTCTAGCAAAGGAGCCCTCTGTAATTGTTTTAACACGGTTATGATCCAATACTAGCTCCTGCAGAAATGGTAGGCCTTCAAGTCCTTCGATTTGACTGATTTCATTACCTAATGAACCAAGATTATATGTGGGAAATGAGATAAAAAGCAGCTGGTATTTGATAACACAAAATAACCTTTAACAAAAACCGTTTATGGTAGCAAACTTCCCAAATTACCTAGAGACTGTGTAAAAAAGCATTTCTTTTGATCCATTTTAAATGTATTACCTTCAAATACCACAGAGTTCCTCTCTGTTACTGTATTATAGAAAAGGAGGAATTTGAGTGGCCTTTTCTATACCATTACAATGACTGCAATGTTGCCCTTTAACTTTCTCCTTTGGGAAGTATTATCTTGCTTTGTATTACATGGGAGTTCCCCCATGCTGGTAGAGATATCTATGTCCAAAATTATTTGGCCAATTTTTATTTAAAGCAAATTATCTTTCTAATTAGCATGGCTGTTCAAATCCTGTATGAATTTTAATGGCATAGTATCTTATGCATCAGGATCACTCTCTCTCTCTTACACTCTCTCTCTCAATTAATGGTTTCAATCTTACAAACACTTACTACATTGAGTAGTCCCAATGATGTCCATGGAGCTACTTATTGCAGCAAGTGCTGTGGTGAGATTCTCAACTAAGATCTAGTCCCAGTGGCAGAGGGGACAGATTCTAGCCACAAATAGCCAGCAACGAATTTCTTTAGCACTGGAGGATATCCACTAGGGGTTTGGTCAAACATATTCCTGGAGGTTTCATCTCATGACATATCTTTAATTAAAGATTAATCTTTAATTCCTGGAGACTCCAGGATAATTCTGGGTAGTTGGCATTCTAATACCCACTGGCATAAAACTGACAGTGGTGTCTTTCTGAATTACCCGTCTCTTCTCTTTTCAATATATGGATGTGTTAAGATTGGACAGGGATTATGAGAAGCTATGGTGAGGTCCACTATATTGTATCTGAAGAACCCTAAACCAGGGGCATAAATTAGAGCATCCCCATAGCTGAATTGAGCTTGGCCCTATGTTGGCCAGTGTTAGCAGGACCGGAATCAATGTTATCTTGCTCGTAGGATACTATATTGGTTGCACAAACATAAATACTTTTATTACTTACCCTGTAGAAACAGCAATTTCAAATTTTTTAGCCTACTGAGCTGTAGTTGGGCCAAGTTATTAATTCCATTGTAGCCCAAATGAAGAACTTCTAAACTTTGCATTATTGGGGGCAGATTTTCACCAAATCCTGCATCCCTAAAACAATTAAGCAAGTAGTAACATGAGGCCAGATAATTTCCAAACATTTTTCCTTGTAAACAGTTATTCGAGCAATTCTCTCCCATTAACATCAACTTCAGAGGGGTAGCTAAGTCAGTCTGTACACAGAATAAACTTAAAAAACAACAAATAGTCTGGTAACACTTTAAAGACTAACAAAACATGTAGATAGTATCATGAGCTTTCGTGGTACAGCCCACTTCTTCAGATGACCGGAGTGTTGGATAGCAATACTCCGGTCATCTAAGAAGTGGGCTGTCCCACAAAAGCTCATGATACTATCTACATGTTTTGTTAGTCTTTAAAGTGCTGCCATACTATTTGTTGTTGTTTAAATTGATCCATTAACATCAGTTATAGGCCCAATTTGTAAATTCCTGTTTACAGTTACAAGTAAACAGGAATTTACAAATTGGATCAGGTTCAATAGAAATTGTACTTGGTTATTACACAAAGGCTGAAAAGCATTCAAAGAAATCTAGTTTTTGAAGTTTCAGTAGCCTTATACAGGCTTCCATGCTTATGCAAGCTTGGCCAGGTTTTACTGGATGCAGACCATGGAAATCAAACAAACATGGAAAACCACTCTTCTGCCCACAAAAGGCCTGAATACATATAATGGGAACAGCTGGAAATTGCTATTTAATTTAGTAAAATATTTATGTAACCTTTGGCTGTATTCTCACAACAGCCATATGATGATGTGGGAAAACCAACCGAACAACAGTATGCAATATCTGACTACTTTATTTATAAAAGCTTCATTTTTGTAACATATAACCATAGTGAGAGAGTGTGGTGTGATAGACTGAGAAAGGCACTGGTGGACAGGAACTTCTGCATTATTTCAGTCTTGCCACTGCCTCATACCCAATCACACAGGTAGCTGTATGACTCTAGGTGTGCTGAGCAACCTGAATTCTCATTAAAACACTAACATTAGTAGTTGCTTAGGTGCAAGTGATCATGACTTGATTGCATTGTTAAGTGCAGAGTAAAGCTCAAACCAATTACAGGCAGTCCCCGAGTTACGCAGATCCGACTTATGTCGGATACGCAGTTACGAACGGGGCTTTTCTCGCCCCGGAGGACGGGAGCGGCGGGACGCCCAGATGAGCTGCGGTCCCACCGCCCGCGTCCTCCGGGGCGAGAAAAGTTGCTCCCCGTCTCCCTGGTCTGCTGGTCAGACCAGGGAGACGCGGAGCAAAGCCGCGGAGGATGCCCGCAGCGGGACAGCCTAGGCGCGCCTGGGCTGACCCGCTGCGGGCGTGCTCCGCGGCTTTGCTCCTGTCCCCCTGATCTGCTGGGGGGCGGGGGGTGTCCAGATTCAGCCACTGTTGAAACTGATCAGTTTTAGCAGCGGCTGAATCTGGACGCCAGTTCCGACTTACATACAGATTCAAGTTAAGAACAAGCCTACAGTCCCTATCTTGTACGTAACCCGGGGACTGCCTGTATATATATACACTTATTACTTTTTAAAAAGCCAGTTTCATAAATCTAAAAATAATTATGAACCAAATCAGTTGGAAGAAAGAATTTAAACAGAGAAATGTGAATGATAATTGGGAACTGTTTAAGAATACTTTACTAGAAGCTCAAAGTTACAATCCCACAATTAAGAAGCAAGCTATAATAGTTTAAAACAATTTGGCTTAGTGCGGAAATAAAAGCAGCTATACATTTTTTAAAAACATGTAACACATGGAAAAAAAGGGGAAGCTGATAGCAATGAATATAAATTAGAATCTAGGAGTTGGAAAAAAGCTGATAAGGAAAGCGAAAGGACAAGGAGAAATCCATGTCCAGCAAAGTCCAAAACAGTGAGAATGTGATTTATAAAACTACAGGAGACTTCCGATAATCCGGCACCTTTGGGACCTAGGTGGTGCTGGATTATCGGATATGCCGGAGTACCGGGAGGTACTATAAGGGGGCATACTCCCAACCCAATCCCCCTCCCCTTCCCTCCTCTCGCCTTCCCCAGAGCCAAACACCTCCCGTCCCTGCTGTAACCCAGTCCGCCTTCTCCCCCAACCATATGTCCGGGTCCCAAGGCAGCTGCCTGTGCTCAGCGGCCGGCTGCTAGCAAGTGCAGGCTGGATGCTGTGTGCGCTGGGGACCATGAGTGGAACAGCGCAGGGCCATGAACGCACATGCAGCTCACAGTGGCCCGGCCGTAAGAGCTGCTGACCGGAGCACTTCCGGGTTTCAGTTGATGCCGGACCATTGGGAGTGCCAGACAACTGGATGCCGGACAATTGGAGTTTTACTGTATATCAGGGAAAAAAGGAATCTTAATATTTTATCAGCCTGTTACTAGATGGAAATGGTAGAATTATCAATACAGGAAGTCCCCGACTTACAAACGGGTTACGTTCCGAACACCTGGTCGCAACTTGATTGGTCGCAACTGGTAAGTCGGAAATACCCTTAAACGTGCTGCCTGCAAAACTTGACATACATGGTTCTCAACTCGAAAATATTATAATAGAGTTAATGGGAGGTTGGTCGTAAGTCAGGATGGTCGTAAGTCAGTGTGTTCGTAAGTGGGGGAGTGGCTGTAATAATGCAGAAAACTAGGCGGAAATCTCATGAATATTTCTCTTCTGTTTTTGGAAAAAAGCCTGGTCATGTATCAATATAGCAACATCCCATGGTTGTCACTATGTGTGTCACTCTAGCCTAAAATGATAGAGTCAGTGTGAAAGGACAGAAGCAGGTGAGAGGCTTTTTTGTCCAGAATATCACTAGGTTGAATCATGATGAAGTTCCAGAGGACTAGATGAAAAAAGGTAGTTACTCACCTTGGGCAGTAACGAGTGTTCTTCGAGATGTGTGTCCCCGTGGGTGCTCCACTGTAGGTGAAGGGTCGCCCTGAGCCTCAGATCGGAGCTTTGTATAGCAGTTTCCCCTGTTGAGCCACGCATGCCCAGGAGGCGTCTCGAGCCCTTCCCGCCTCCTGAGGAGCGCAGCTCAACCCCCTCCCTTTCAGTTCCTCGTCTCCGCCCGAGTAATTTCGACTCCGAGCAGAGGGGAGGCAGGGAGGGTCGTGGAGCACCCACAGGGACACACATCTCGAAGAACACTCGTTACTGCACAAGGTGAGTAACTCCCTTTTCTTCTTCGAGTAGTGTCGCCATGGGTGCTCCACTGTAGGTGACTACAAAGCAGTATTCAGTATATTGCTGGAGGGTGCCGGAGTCAGTGTTTGGCAGTGTTGGAGAGCACTGCCGTGGCAACTGCTGAGTCACTCTTAAGTTGTGGAAGAATAGCGTAATGTTTAGCAAAGGTATGATCTGAAGACCATGTTGCTGCCTGGTAAATGTCTCCTAAGAGAACATTGCCCAGAAAGGCTGTAGAAGCAGCCATGGCTCAAGTGGAATATGCTCGTGGTGGGCGTTGTAGCGGTCTATTGCCCAGTGAGTGGCACTTAATTATGCAGGTCGATATCCACTTTGAGATTCATTGAGATGATATTGGTGCCCCTTTGGATCGTTCAGCAGTGGAGATAAAAAGTCTTTCAGATTTACGAAATGGTTTTGTTCTTTCTAGGAAGGTCAGAGCCCTCCGGATGTCCAGAGTGTGCAGGCTGGCGTCTGTCTGCGAAGAATGCGGTTTTGGGAAAAAGGTAGGTAATACGATCGGTTCGTTGAGATGGAATTCTGTACCGACCTTTGGCAAAAACGTGGGGTGGGGTCTCAGTATTACCCTATCCTTAGTGAAAACTGTGTAAGGAGGTTCTGACATTAGTGCTCCGAGTTCGCTCACCCTCCTGACGGAGGTAATGGCTAATAGGAAGCAGACTTTCATAAAAAGGAAGGGAAGTGGTACTGTTGCCAGTGGCTCAAAGGGAGGTCTGGTGAGGCAGTTCAAAACAAGATTTAGGTCCCACAAAGGGGGTGGG